ACTGGAGGAAAGGCAGCATGTTCAGCAAATGGTGCTGGAAAACTGGATCTCCACCTGTAGAAGAATGAAACAAAACCCTTATCTTTCACCTTGCACAAAAACAATTCCAAATGGATCAAAAACCTCAATGTGAAGCCTGAAACTCTGAAACTGTTAGAAGAAAACATTGGGAAAAACCTTAAAGATACAGGTGTAGGAAAGGATTTTCTAAACCGGACATCAATTGCTCAGGAAACAAGGCAAGAATTAACAAATGGGACCTCATTAAACTAAAAACTTCTGTACATCCAAAGAGGCAACTAGGGAAGCCATCAGAAAACCCCCAGATTGGGAGAAAATCTTCACCAGCGACACATCTAACAGACATTTAATATCCAGAATATATAACAAGCTCAAAAAACAGACAAGAAGTAACTCAATTAAAAGATGGGCTAAGGAGCTGAACAGAGAGTTCTCAAAATAAGTAAAGATGGCTATGAAGGATCTTAAAATATGTTCAACATCACTAATAATTAGGGAAATGCAAATTAAAACCACTTTAAGATTTCACTTCATCCCAGACTGGCTAAGATCAAGAAATGAAATGATACCAAATGCTGGAGGATGTGGGGAAAGGGGAACACTCATCCACTTCTGGTGGGGCTGCAAACTGGTTCAGCCCATATGGAAAGCAGTGTGGAGAACTCTTAAAAAACTACAAATGAATCTACCATTTGACCCAGTTATACCACTCCTTGGCATATACCCAAAGAATCATCCTATTGCAGAGACACTTGTACATCCAAGTTTGTTGCTGCTCTTTTCACAAAAGCTAAGAGATGGAAGCAACTTAAGTGTCCCTCAGTTGACAAGTGGATAATGAAAATGTGGTTCATTTATACAATGGAGTTCTATTCAGCAGTAAAGAAATATGAAATAATGAAATTTTCAGGTAAATGGATGGAACTAGAAACTGTTATACTAAGTGAAGTAACACAGACTCAGAAAAACAAACGACACATGTTCTCCCTCATGTATGGATCCTAGCACTAAATCCTTATATGTATGTATCCAGATATAACTGCAGGAACCAGGATAATGAAAAGAAACCAGGGAGGGAAAGGGAAAGAAAGATTCTGAGAAAGACGAGTAGGAGGCAGGTGTTGCTAAAGGAGAAATGGATAAAAATGGGGGTATTTAAATGGAATAGAAGAAGGGAAAGTTATACAAGGAACACTGGGGATAAAGGAAAGAAGGAGCTCAAGAGAGGTTAGACCATAGGAGACTGGTATTACCAAGGGAGAAATGGTGAAAATGGGGATACC